GACGACCTCAACGCGGGTTTCGATCAAGTCGCTTTTTTTACTTTTCGAAACATTTCTGCTGATGTTGCAGTTTTCTCTTGTCCACTTCCTTGACGTCGGGCTACGCTACCATTATCACGGCAACGAGCGATGGTGTGTCTCGTACCATCGCTCGTTGCGATTTATTCACATTTAAGTTCTGGAGGACTCTAACGATAGGCATTTGTGGTTTTCCAGCTAAATATAAATAAATCACACTATCACGCTTGAATTCCATCACGAATAACCTTTTTTCTGGAAAATTCTCACTAAAATGCTTTTGTTCGCTTGTAAACAATATAATGAGCGGTCTATGGAATAATTTTAACAGCTGTCGGGCGAGTGGCTTAGAAATGACGGCAGTCTGAAGTTGGTTGCAGTTTTTTTTTTCATTTCACCCTGTATAATGTGATCCCGACTTTTCTTATACCGTCTACCATACTATGGAGGGTATATTAAGTTTGTCACTTCATTTGTAACTTCTCGAAATACTCAGGTCCACGTTTTCTTATTGCCACCTTGTAACAGTATCTTCTTATTTTCGATACTATAATGACTTAAGACTTATTTTCTAGCAGAGTTGTTTAAAATTACTTAGGGTTCGTAATGGGTTGTCTCCTGTGGCAAATCATTGCATATGTAGTTTCACGTTTTGCTATAGGCCCCCATGTTTCGGTAATTCCCGATATTCGATATTCTGATGTTTTTAGGCACATTTAAAATTCGATATGTAGAGCTTGTAGTGGATTCTGTCTTCTGTAGCAGGAGGCGGTACCTCCGTATATTTTGTGTTTTGGTGTTTTAAGAAGAGTTTTTTAGCAGTTAGGTATTTGAAACTTAATTCTTTGGAGTTAGTTTCAATTCTCGATCCGGCATAAAGGATCAATGTAACTGAGAATATAATCTAATCTCCCTCTTTTAATGTCAATTCTATTCTGGATCCTGCTCGGAGGATCAATGTTTAAATGAGAAAAGAATACAACCGCTTCGCTTGAGTGTAGATTCAATTCTAGTTTTTATTTAAAAATATGATCCTTAAGTATTACTGAAACTAATCTAACTTAACCTAATCGCAACCACACAATTATTCTTATCTATTCTAATATTGAATGGAGAACATTGCAGGGCTGTTTGACATTTCATTCAATTGGTCTTGTACATCTACTGAGCGCATCGATATACGTGTAACTCATCGAAATAATAATTTAACACCAAACGAAGTAGGATAGGAAGCTAAAATTTTCCACAGATCAGTCTTTTGTCCGCAGGCAGGTCAAATTCGAAGATGGGCTATATCGGTCCACTATATCATATAGCCCCTGTATAATGGAACCGTCGATATTCGGTATTTTGATAATTTTAGCCACATTTTTTAATGGAATTGTATGAAATTCAAAACAAAGAGTTCCTTGTGAGTACTTTACTCCCTGAAAGGGTATTGTGAATAGAGGTCTACGATATCGTATATCCCCCATACAAAGGTAATTTGATGAAATTGAAATTGCGTATTTTAAGTTTCTAATGGGTACTACAGCCTATGATAAACCAGTTAGGTTTCATCTAGTAGGGCTAGGCCGACTATATGATACCCTACACCACTATGCATATTTGATAGAGCTCCGTAACATTTGGCTTTACAGCAGTTATAGTTAGGTTTCGGATGAAACTAATATATGGGAGGCATATCCAATTCTGAATCGACTTTCTCTAAATTTTATGGAGACATTTTAATCTTTTATACCAAATAACATTCATATAGAGTACATGATATCACTCCGAGAAGGATTATATTAAAAACAAGAAAAAAACTGTAAGTTCGGCCGGGTCCTCCACCATTTGGTACAAATTTGGCAATTTTCAAAAAAATAAAAAAATAAAATCCGTTTAAAATCCTGTTAAAATCATAAAAATACCGAATGTAGCCGTATATTAGGGTCTATACAACGACGTGGACCTGCATAGGCAACTTTTGTCATAAGCTATTACAATATTCAAATGCGAAAGTTGAAAAAAATATGTTTATAATGTAGCTAAAATCATCAAAATACCGAATATAGGGAGGTACCATGGGGGTTATAACACGTGGACCTGCACAGACTACTTTGTGACATAGGCTGTAGTATCCATTACAAACTTCAAATACAAAATTTGAAGCAATTCCGGTAAGTAGTGTCTCTAAAATCATCGAAATACCGAATACCGGGAGGTACCGTTATATGGGGGCTATACGAAGCGTGGACCTGCACAGACAATTTTCTGTCATAGGCTGTAGTATTCATTACGAACTTCAAGTACCAAATTTGAAATAATTCCGGTAAGTAATGTCGCTAAAATCATCAAAATACCGAATATCGGGGGGTACCGTTATATGGGGACTATACGAAGATGTGGACCTGCACAGACAATTTTCTGTCTTAGGCTGTAGTATCCATTACAAACTGCACATACCAATTTTGAAACAATTCCGGTGAATAATGTCGCTAAAATCATCAAAATACCGAATATCGGGAGATACCGTTATAGGAGGGCGATGCCAAAACGTGGACCTACATGGCCCATTTTCAATACCAAAAGTCCCGCAGACATAATATACATTTGAGTAAAATTTTATCAATATACTTCAATTCATTCGGAAGCTAGAGTGATATCAACGGACGGATTGACGGACGGACATCGGTAAATCGACATATAATTTTATGCTGATCAAGAATATATATACTTTGTGTATAAAATGTATGTAAAATGTATATTTCGAGGTGTTACAAAAGGAATATACCCTCCATACTATAGTGGAGGGTATAAAAATATATATCGAAGACGAGTTCCACCAAATTCACAAGAATACATTGACGGACGGACGGACTGAAATGCATAAATCGACTCAGAAAGTGATTCTATGAAGATCCTCAAAAGTAACTATGGGTCTATCTCGCTTCCTTCTTCATGTTACAAACAAATGCACCAAAACATAATACCCTCACCACCATGTGGTGTAGGGTATAAAAAGATAAAAAAAAATCATAAAATATTAAAAAATAATTAATTATTTTTCTCTTAAATTATATTTTTATCTTTTTTATTGGCCTACGTATATCCATACATATCTACATACGTCTTCGCAAATTGCTAGTTTTGCTTTTAACATGCAGCACGAAACACACAGTATACTGTTGTTTGTCGTCCAACAGAAGTATGTATGGCTGTGCAGAGGAATGTTCGGGCAACGTGGTGTATGCACGGTTGCCACTCCAATTTTTTTTGCGGGACCAAAATTCATCAAAAAAAGGACCAAACCAAACAAAAAAGGACCAATTTGTTTGCAATTTTTTTCGCATATCCTCAATGCTTACAATATTATTTAACAAAACATTTATTTAACACAAAAAGTAAAAATGAAGTGTAAAGATTTCTAAACATTAACAAAAAGTGCTTCAATTCAATTTGCACATAAATACATAAAACAAATTAACATAAAATTTATACAGATATATTGATATAAATGTATATAATAAAAATAATATAATATGATGGTGATTCTATTCTAAGCCCAGCCTATGTGTTTTACTGACCAAACATAATGAGGCTCTGATTTTTGCGCACAAAGTTCTTTGGACAGCATTATATTATTGATTGAACTGAACTCTAATTTATTCCTTAATTTGGTTTTGATAAGAGAAAGTTCAAAAAATTTACGTTCTGCTGCCGCCGAACTATGTGGAAGGCTCAATAAATCATATACAAAATCAGTCAATTCTTGAAAACATTTCTCATCCATACCGTTTTTATATAAACTAACTTTTTCCCAAAATACACAAACGTCCATATCAGGTTTAAGATTACTGTTTAAAAGTCTTAAGAGTTTCCATTGTGTTAAAATAATATCTATATCACATTTAATTAAATGAGAAAAATTGCTTACTAAAGGCATTATTGAAGTTTCTGTGTCTGATAGAACTTTGTTGGGGGTAATTATGCATAAATTTTTTAAATCAGTTCTTCCAAAGTCAAACCGTTGCTGAATTTGTTTCAAAAATTCAACGTAAAAGTTTAAAATATTTGTTTTAATTGTGATTCGTTGCGAATCCGTAAATTTATCGCTTTCAAGAAAGTTTTCTGCGCTACTTCCTATAAAAATATTTTTAACTTGCAGATATTTCGTTTTGTCATGTATATTAAAATTTTCTAGACAATCAATATTTTTTACAAAGTCGTTATGCATAAAATTACTCAAAAGTAGTTTAAAATGTACTTCAATTTGGGAGTACAAAAAGGGTAAGCGAACTTTTTCAGATTGAAACTCTTTATTCAGGGTATTAATTATTTTCAATACGTAGGCCAAAAACAACATGTAAACTTTTAGTTCCGGATCACCCATTGAATTCGCTAATTCAAATGCACTAATGCCACTTACTTCAAGACACGAGGATAAAAAATATAGTCGAAGCGCTTCCCACTGTTCATTAATTCGTGCAATCACACTTTCCAGAGCGAGCCAACGAGTAAAAGAAATTCCAAGTATTTTATGAGGTTTTACGCCACAATAATCCTGAAATTCCTTGAACTCGTTGATTCGCTTTGGGCTGTGCGAGAAAAATTTGTATATATCTCTACACAGCTTTTCAATTTTTGCTGGTAGCTGTTTGCTGGCGTAGCTCGAACACAAATGTAGCGAGTGGCAAGTGCATTTGATGTAAAATATATTAGTATCATTTTTTAATTTTGTTTTCAGCCCATTTAATTCGCCGGCCATCGTATTGGCTCCGTCAGTTGCTAGCCCTATCAAATTACTTAAAGGTACACTGTGCTTTTCGAAAAATGACTTTATCGTTTGGTATATTGCCTCAGAATCGCTTTTGGTAAGTTCAACTAGTGATAAAAATCTGTCACGAATAGTATTCGATAACTTATCAAAATACCTTACCACCAGAACCAGACACTTTGTTGTTGATACGTCCGTGGTTTCGTCCACAATGAAAGAGAATTTACACGTTCTGAGATCCGATACTATTCTCTTCATTGCTTCGTTCCCTAAAATCTCTGCTAGCTGGGTCGATTTGGTTCTGCCGCAGCGTAAAGACTGCGCTATTTTTGAGTCCGGACAACACACGGCTAGCAAATTTGGCAAATAATCCATAAGGATAAATGGAAGATTATGTGCCATTATGAACATCACTAAACTGAATTCTGCGTTTCGGATTTGCTTTTCTAAAGTATCATTTTGTTCTTTAAGAAAAGAATCTAACTTCACTTGGCCCTTTTTCTTGATCACATTTTGAACATGGCTTGATTGCTCTGTGTGTCGTTTTAGCTTCGCTACGTGGTTCACCATGGACTTTTCGCAAGCAGTGCAGTATGCGCTCCCATTTTGCTCTTTGAGCCAATTAAATTGGGTTAGCCATTCTTTCCGAAATTTGCGTTTTGGATCCTTTTTTTCGCCAGCTGTGTCGCTAAATATAGAATATGTAATCAATTAATACGTACTTATGTAAGTATGTATGTATTTATTACCTTTCACTGCCATCGCTTTCGACTGACTGCGTGGGAGGCCGTTGTTCTACAACCTTCGCCTTCTTTATCAAAAACCTGAAACAACATATCAATCAATGGAAAAATTTAAATTTCTTATCCATTAACTTACTTGTCCATGGTAAATTATTGTCTAGTTTTACTTTTACACAAACAATTACATTATAAAATATTCGTTACACTGAAGTTAATTTGTCAATTTCTGATTTGTAAACAAAAGAAACAATTGACCAGTGTTGTCAATTTAGCTTTTTCCCGCTAGATCTAGCTTTGTTTTTTGACTGACAGGTAATATTGCCACTTGATTTACTATTGTGGGTTGGTAAAATTTGATTATATTTTCAAGTGTTGTCAACGAATCAAATCTTTCGCTTTATGTGAACCGTGTTGATTTTCGTAAATAAATTTTTAAAGGCGTGATGAAACACTCAAAATTTCTTTGTATCATAATTGTAAACATTTTCATAAAAGGGACCAAATCAGAAAAAAGTGGACCAGTGGACCAAACGTAAAAAAAAGGACCATTTTTGGTCCAATTGGACCAAAGTGGCAACCGTGGGTGTATGGCTCTTTTGTGTTGAATCAAATCCAAAGAGAGAGAGAGAGAGAGAGTAAGTGAGTGTCTACCCATTTTGTTTACCGCTTAGTCCTTTAGCTGCATTCGTGGTGTGAATTTGCTTATTTTCGTTTTATGTTGTCAAATAAAAAGTTTGGATTATTCCGCAACAGTTTTACTCCCAGGTAAGTAAAACTTTGTTAAGTAATTTCTGCAAATAACGTTGTACTTATAAACTGCAATTACAAAATTAACCTACCACATGTTTTGTCCAGTGCCTTTGTTTACCGAATACCCAAATGTCTGGTTATTTTATTGTCTGTCGAACCATTTGTTGAGACGAACAACAGTGGTTGTTTGCGAAGAGAGTTGAGCGAGTGAGAGAGATAATTTAAGAACAGTGTTCATATGTATGTCCGTATGTACTTTAAATGTGTGCATAAGTTATATTAAGCCATAACTTTAACTATTTCGATTTTTGGTTTGTTTACATTTTCCTGAAAACTTATGTTGTTTTATTTTACCGCCAAATTGCTACTTTGGATACCGTCTTTGTAAACAAAAATCCAGTAGAAAACCCGTAAAGAAAGTCTTAAAGTCGAGTGGGCCGACTTTATGATACCCTACACCACTTTGCTAATTTAGTAGAGCTCCGCATAACAATTTAAAGTTTTTATGGGAGAATTCAATCATACACGCTATGATTATAATTATAATTTAAAGTTCAAAGGACTAAATATGCCGAAGCATTTGCATCTTTTAAATTCGGACTTGTATTGCCCATTTGGTGCATAATTAATTTGAAATCGGATAAAAATATATATGAGAGCCATATCCAAATCGGAACCGATCTCGATAAAATTTGGCAAAGATATTTCTGAGCTGTATTTGATATATTTCCCTAAATATCGTTATTACGGAGTGCATATTACGGCTGTGGGTAACAAATATGACAAATCGGATGAACAGTATATATGGGAGCTATAGCTATATCTGAACCGATCTTCACCAAATTTGACATACTTATTTTCAGGCCTAATTTCAATAGGGTTCGTCCTTGGGACAAACAAATGATTTGTGCAAAATTTCATCTGGATAGAGCAATAAATGCAAACTGCACTTTGTTAAAAAAATAAATGGACAGACGGACGGATATTTATAAATCGACTTAGAATGTGATTCTATGCAGATCATCAAAAGGAACTATAGATCTATCTCGTTTCCTTTTGCCTGTTACAAACAAATGCGCAAAGACACAATATCCGGATCATCTTGTGGTGTAGGGTATAATTAAATATATAATTACACAAGGTTGCCTTCGTAATTCTACCATGTATTGTGAAAAAAGTTGGCAACAATGAACTTGTAGAAAAATAAACACAATTCTTTCATGAGAGCTGATTTTACATGCCTACAAACAAACATACGTTCATGTATCCATGCGAACGACGCACAGTCTGTTGTTTATTTGTTGTTCTTTCAACTGTAATATGTCTGTGCAGTTGATTGTACAGGTTAGCTGTTAAAAGAATCTGTTGTGCCGGATCAAATCAGCAGATATGCTGGGTGTCTGTTCACAGCTTAGTTATTTCGGTGAATGTGTGGATTTTAGTTCTTTTGATAAATGAATTAGTTTAGAATTCATTAGTTTTACCCACCGGTAAGTTTAATTTGTTATTTTGATTTTTTTTTTTTGGAAATTAAGCATTTATTATTTAAATAGAATTAAATATTAGATATGTACATACATACAAAATGTTTTGACATATTGACTTGTTTACCGAAACGAAATGTCTGCTTATTTGATTCTCTTGTGTACCATTTGTTGAGTACGGTTGCTTGCGAACAGAATTAAGAGAGAATGTAAAATAAACGTTGTTCGTATGTGTGCATAACATCAGCAGTAATTTTTATTTTGTGGTGAATTTGTGTTATTTTATTTTACAGTCAAATTGTTTTGTTCACCGACATATCTAAAAAACGTAAACAACTAATATATCATACCAAGTTCGCATAGCACATCAAGTGAAGAAATAAAGTCAACATACACCTTACGATTTTAAAATTTTGCCCAATAGGCAGCTATAATTCAACCCAATTCTTTGTGTGTATTTAAAGGATTAAAACCAAGTTTATTAACACCAAAATATGTGTAAAAATATATAGTAAACAATATAAGAAAAAGAAAAATAATGTAAAATTTGCGGGAAAAAGTGGCAACTCCTTCAAATATGAAATAAAACAAGCGTTGAAAAAGGGGAACCCCATTTTTTCGTCATTTTTAGTTTAGATGTCTTTAGAAGTACAGGGTGAGATAACAAAAACTGCAACAGAGTCAAACGCCATAATTTTTACATTTTTTTTTTTAATTTTATTGAATGAAAGCAAAAAACGTCGGAAATAGCATCAAATTTTTAAATACGTTTAGTTTTGTTCGAATTTGTCACCTTTGGCAGGAATTATGGCCTTCAAACGGCCAATGAAACCGTCACGCACTGTCCGAATGTTGCTCTGCGGTATTTTGACCCATTCCCGGCGATGCGCTTGCTTGAGGTAATCGACACTTTGGTATTTTTTAGTGCCAATCTTGCTTTCCAAAATACTTCAGACACAATAGTCCGACGGATTGGTGTCCGGAGATTTTGGTGATCATTGCGCACTGGAAATGAAGCGAGGAACCTCATTTTGTAACCATTCTTGGGTTGGGCGTGCTGAGTGTAATGGTGCCCAGTCCTATTGGAATGTCCAAGGTCTGGGGCCAACATGTTTGCGTGCCCAAGGCTTTAATACACCCTCCAGAATATTTTCTCGATGATATTCGGCATTTGTTCTGATGCCACAGTCGATTAATACGAGCTGAGAGCGACCATCGGCTGTAATGGCGGCACACACCATCAGCATGGCCGGCGCTTGAGTTCTGGTGGCCAACCAAAGGTCCACATTTTCATCTGACCTCTTTGGCAAGTAAATACGATCATTTTGTTTGTTTACAAACTGCTGGACAATGAATCTTTTCTCATCGGAGAAAACCAAATTCGGCAGTTCACCACTTTCGGCCAAGCGAAGCAACTCTTTAGCTCTTTTGAGTCTATTTTCTTTCCTTTGCGGTGTTAATTCTTGCACTATTTGGAATTTCAATGGCTTTATCCCGAGCTCATTTTTCAATATTTGCCGAATGGAATATTGCGATATGTTCAGCTCACGAGCCTTTCGCTTCTTTACTTTTCGAACCATTTCTACTGATATTGCTGTTTTTCCGTCCACTTCCTTGACGTCGGGCTACGCTATCGGTATCACGGTAACGAGCGATGCTACGAGACACAAAAGATTTATTCACATTTAAATGCTGGAGTGCTCTAACGATAGCCACCTGTGGTTTTCCTGCCAAATATAAAGAAATCACACTATCACGCTTGAATTCCATCACGAATAATATTTTTTCTTTAAAAATTCTCACCAAAATGCTTTTGTACGCTTGTAAACAATATAATGAGCTGTCATTGGAATAATTTTAACAGCTGTCGGACGAGTGGCATAGAAATGAGAGCAGTCTGAAGTTGGTTTCAGTTTTTTCACCTCACCCTGTATATCATATGTTTGCACGAGATTGCCGCGTATAATTTTGCAAGATCCTCTCAAGAGAAAACCATTTACCAACTTTAAAGTTGAAACCAATTTCGTATAGTTTGCTAAAAATTATAGCTTGATTACCATTTAGACAACAATAATATTAGGAACAAGTTTCAACAAGTCCTAAAATAATATAAAATCGAATTTTTTTTTTTCTCTTAAACTCGATTTTGCTCACCTATTTTGTATGCGCTTAGGTACATACATATGTACATGCATCCACACGAATGCTGGAATTGTGTCTTTAACATGTATCACGAAACACACCGTTCCTCCTACAGTCTGTTATTCTGTTCATCCAACAGAAGTACGAATGTCTGTGCCGTTGAATGTACGTATGTATGTTATATGACTCTGTTGCGTTCTTTAAAATCCTCCGACATGCTCGCGAGACACTACCCAGTTTTGTTTACAGCTTAGTTCTTTCGTTGCATTCGCAGTGTGCATTTGTAAATTTTCATACTTTTATGTAATCAAAAGTTGGATTATTCCTAGTCAGTTTTACTGCCAGGTAAGTGATACCTTGCTATTTTGTTTTTGTAAATAACATTAGAATTAAATAAATTGAATTAAATCCATATGTTTGGTGTGTGTACCTACAACATGTTTTGTTCAAAGCTTTTGTTTACTGAATACCGAAATGTCTGGCTATTCGATTCTCTTTTGAACCATTTGTTGAGATGAACAATAGTGGTTGTTTGCAAACAGTGTTGAGAGAGAGAAAACGTTGAACGTATGTATGTATGTCCGCATGTACATTAAATGTGTGCATAACCTTAACTATATAGATTTGTTTACATTTTGGGACAATTTTTATACCCTCCACCAAAAAAGGTATGGAGGGTATATTAAGTTCGTCATTCCGTTTGTAACTCATCGAAATAATCATTTTAGACCCAACAAAGTATATATATTCTTGATCAGCGTAAAATTCTAAGACGATTTAGCCCTCTCCGTCCGTCTGTTGTAATCACGCTACAGTCAAAACGATTTGAGATAGGAAGCTAAAATTTTGCACAGATCTCTCTTTTGTATGCAGGCAGGTCAAGTTCGAAGATGGGCTATATCAGTCCACGATATGGTATAGCCCCCATATAACGGTACCCCCCGATATTCGGTATTTTAATGATTTTAGCCACATTTTTAAAGGGAATTTTCTGAAATTCCACACAAAGAGTTCCTTGTGACTACTTTACCACCTGAAAGAGAATTGTCTATATAGGTCCACGATATCGTATAGCCCCCATATAACGGTACCCCCCGATTTTCGGTACTTTCATGATTTCAGCAACAATTTTCAACGGAATTGTCTGAAAATCCACACAAGGAGTTCTTTGTGAGTACTTTATCCCTTGGCAAAGAATTATCAATAAAGGTCCACGATATCGCATATAATGGTACCACCCGATATTCCGTAGTTCCATGATTTTAACCACATTTTTCAAGGGAATTGTCTGAAATTCCACACAATAAGTTCCTTGCAAGTAATTTTCCCCCTGAAAGAGAATTTGCTATATATGTCCACAATATCGGATATCCCCCATATAATGGTACCTTCCGGTATTCGGTGTTTTTAGGATTTTAACAGAATTTTCAATAGATTTTATTTTTTGCAAAATTTCCTAATTCGTTCCAAATGGTGGAGGGAATTCAAAGTTCGTCCCGGCCGAACTTACTGCTTTTTTACTTGTTATACCCTCCACCATACTATGGAGGGTATATTAACTTTGTCATTCCGTTTGTAACTCCTCGAAATACTCATATCAGACCCAACAAAGTATATATATTCTTGATCAGCGTAAAATTCTAAGTCGATGTAGCGATGTCCGTCTGTCTGTCTGTCTGTTGTAATCACGCTATCTTTCGAATGAATTGAGATAGATGGCTAAAATTTTGCACACATGTTTATGTTTCCAGTAGGCAGGTTAAGTTCGTAAATGGGCCATGTAGGTCCACGTTTTCATATAGCCCCCATATAACGGTACCTCCCTATATTCGGTATTTTGATGATTTTAGCGACATTATTCACGGGAATTGTTTCAAATTTGGTATTTGAAGTTCAAAATGGATACTACACCCTAAGACAGAAAATTGTCTGTGCAGGTCCACGTCTTCATATAGCCCCCATATCACGGTACCTCCCTATATACGGTATTTCGATAATTTTAGCTACATTATTCACCGTTTATTTCAATTGGCATTATTGGCCAAAACTAAAGCAACTGAAATCGCAAAGACAATTAATTCCCTGTAATTTTTCAAAAATAATCAAGTCGTAATTTTTTTTTTCAGTTTTAAATGATTTGCTTTATTCACTTTTATAAACTAAAAATAAAAATACAAAAATAATTTTGACTGAAAAATAATATATGGAAAACTAAAATGACCCAATTTTTGCTTGGTCAAAACTAAAGCAACTTTTTTATTTTTTATTTTAAAATAATTAAATTTTGGCTAGTAATCGATAGCATCCATTATATTTGATAGCAGCTGCACACCTACGAGGCATTGAATCTATAACACGGTCAGTTTGATCCTTGGGTATGCTTTACCAAACACCCTGAATTCTTTGGTAAATGTTGTGTTTATTTGTTTCCGAATCTTGCGAATCTTGATCCTCCTGCCTACGATACTCCAAAGGTTTTCTATGGGGCTTAGGTCAGGTGATTGTGCCGGCCATGACAAAACACCGATTTTTGACTCCCGCAACCAATCTTTGACAAGTTTTGATGCTTGTTTTGGATCATTGTCGTGGTGAAACACCCAAATGAACCGAATATTTTCCTCAGCGAAAGGGAACAACATGATGTCCAACACATCTTTGTAAACAAACCGATCCATAACTACCTTTATTTTATCCATAGAAGTCCATAGAAATAAAAACAGCACCACAAAATTGTTGACCCTTCCTCGTGCTTCACTGTAACTTTGCAACACTGCGGCTTGAGTTTTTCAATTTCTGGTATCCTCACCGTAAAATTTTTCATGTCTGAGTCTTTAATATTAAACGTAGACTCATCCCAGAATAAAATGTTTTTCCATTGAGCTGGATTCCAATTAATATTATCGTTTCCGAAAGCCATCCTGGCTTTCCGATTTTTCAAATATATAAATGGCTCTTTTGATGGCTGACGGACATGCAGACCAGCTGCCACTACTCGTCTACGCACTGATCTCGAGCTTAAATCCAATGATAGCTCTCTCACCAATTCAGTTGAACTCTTATGTTGTTGTTTTTTATTTCTCTCACAATTTGTTGATCAGTACGGGCTGACATTTTTCACGGCCTTCATCCGTTATAGATTTTTACTACTGATCCGGTTTCATAAAACCTCATAAACCACAGAAATATTTATTAAATATTTTCCGGAAATCATTTTCTGCTATAGCTTGTTTTTATAGTTAATGACAATTTGCTGTTTCATTTATGTACTGTATTTGCTTCTAGACATTTTTAAACTTTTTGGGGAGTACCATGGTAAAATTAAGAAAGTAAAGTCATTTTAAACAAGTAAAAAAGCTGTAAGTTCGGCCGGGCCGAACTTTTAATACCCTCCACCATTTGGTACAAATTTGACAATTTCCAAAAAAAAAAAAAATAAATAAATAAAATCCGTTAAAAATTCTTTTAAAATCTTAACAATACCGAATGCCTATACGACGACGTGGATCTGCATAGGCAACTTTTGTTATAAGTTATTACAATATTTAAATGCGAAACTTGAAGAAAAATCTGTTTATAATGTAGCTAAAATCATCAAAACACCGAATATAGGGGGTACCGTTATATGGACAGACAATTTTCTGGCATGGGCTGAAGTATCCATTACGAACTTCACATGCGAAATTTAAAACAATCCCGGAAAATAATGTCGCCAAAATCATCAAAATACCAAATATCGGGGGGTACGGTATATGGGAGCTATACGAAGACGTGGACCTACATGACCCATTTTCTGTTTTATGCTGCAGCATCTATTACGAACTTCAAATGCTAACTTTGAAGCGATTCCGGTAAATAATGTCGCTAAAATCATCAAAATACCGAATATCGGGAGGTACCGTTATATGGAGGCTATATGATAACTTAGACCTACATGGCCCATTTACGAACTTAACCTGCCTACTGGCAAAATATACATGTGTGCAAAATTTTAGCCTTCTATCTCAATTTGTTCGAAAGATAGCGTGATTACAACAGACAGACAGACTGACAGACTGACAGACTGACAGACTGACAGACTGACAGACAGACAGACAGACTGACTGACATGGCTAAAACGTCTTAGAATTTTACGCTGATCAAGAATATATATACTTTGTTGGGTCTGACATGAGTATTTCGAGGAGTTACAAACGGAATGACAAAATTAATATACCCACCATAATATGGTGGAGGGTATAAAAAGCATTCCCATCTCCGTATTTTTATACCCTCCACCAAAAAAGGTATGGAGGGTATATTAAGTTCGTCATTCCGTTTGTAACTCATCGAAATAATCATTTTAGACCCAGCAAAGTATATATATTCTTGATCAGCGTAAAATTCTAAGACGATTTAGCCCTGTCCGTCCGTACGTCTGTTGTAATCACGCTACAGTCAAAACGAATTAAAATAGGAAGCTAAAATTGCACAGATCTCTCTTTTGTCTGCAGGCAGATCAAATCCGAAGATGGGCTATATCGGTCCACGATATCGTATGGCCCCCATATAACGGTACACCCCGGTATTTGGTATTTTGATGATTTAGCCACATTTTTCAACGGAGTACCTTGTGGGTACTTTACCTCCGATATTCGGTATTTTGATGATGTTAGCCACATTTTTCAATGGAATTGTCTTAAAATTCACACAAGTGGTTCCTTGCGAGTAATTTACCTCCTGAGAGAGAATTGTCTATACAGGTCCACGATATCGTACATCCCCCATATAACGGTACCCCCCGATATTCGGAATTTGGTTATTTTACCCACATTTTTCAACGGAATTGTCTGAAAATCCACACAGGGAGTTCCTTGTGGGTACTTTATACCTCGGCAGAGAATTGTCCATACAGGTCCACGATATCGTATAGCCCCCATGTAACGGTACCCCCCGATATTCGGTATTTTGATGATTTTACCCACATTTTTTAATGGAATTGTCTGAAATTCCACAGAAGGAGTTCCTTGTGGGTACTTTATACCTCGGCAGAGAATTATCTATATAGGTCCACAATATCGTATAGCCCCCATATAACGGTACCCCCGATATTTGGTATTTTGATGATTTTAGCCACATTTTCCAATCGTATTGTCTGAAAATCCACACACGGAGTTCCTTGTGAGTACTTTACACGCAGACATAGATTTGTCTTTATAGGTCCACAATATCGTATGTCCCCCCATATATCGGCACCTTCCTATATTAGATATTTTAAAGATTTTAAAAGAATTTTTATTGGATTTTATTTTTTTTTGAAAATTTTCTAATTCGTTCCAAATGGTGGAGGGTATTCAAAGTTGGCCCGA